AAATAAGAATAAGAGTTGCTTCAATCGATTTTTAAAGTACATCTGGAAGATGTCAGAACTGACATTGAAGAAATGACCCAGCACAGCTGTGCAGCGTGCAGTGACCCATCATGTTTGGTCATACCCAGAAGGAGGTCATTATGATCCAGCACTGGAAGCCCTGCCTCATATTGCAGCTTTATTTAGTTGTATCTTGAGAAAATAGATGGTGTGATTCATTTCATCAACTTGAAATGTTTCAGGAAATGTTTACTCTGTATCCAGTTCCTCCATTCAGCCATGCCATTCAGAGCTCTGTTGCAGTTTGACACGGTGTAGGTCCTCCTGTCTGCAAGTGTCCTTGAGCAATGCCTAGCAGTGTGTAAAGCACTACAAATTATTTGTTTCTCAATACTTCTTGATAGAGCTGCCAAAGTGAGATTAGCCAGCAACAAAAAATTATTGGTTTAGTTTAGTTTTAAATAAGTCAAACATCAAATTCAATCAAAATGTTGCTTGATTTGAGTCTAGGTTAAGTTATTCACATGTGAATATGGTTAAAGAATATGGCTAGCATTACTCTAGGTCAGAAAATTCCGAAAAAAGACCACAAACAATGTGTTACGCCATATCTTAATACTTAATGACTTCCTTACTGTCTGTGGCTCTCAGCAACGAGCCCACTGGCTCCTACCAAATCTTTAAAAACTATAAAGCCTGTGTATATAATTCATTATAATGCATTATAAACATACTTAGAATGCATTATACTAAGCTTAAAAAAATGTAGTTATACGTTAGTTAGTTAGTTAGTTAGTTATGTTATAAGCATTTATAAATATTTATAATAATGTATAACAGAAATCATGACACATGTTGATGCCCATGTCTATGATGCGTTATAATGCACCATATAAGTGTTTATAACTACAATTATACATGGCTATAATCACAGCATAACACATTATAAATATGTTTATAATGCAATATAGACCTGGGTGTCATAGATAGTGTTACCAAACAATAATTTTAGTTTCCTAAAAAAGGTAGGTCACTGTAGTTTTTAATCAAACATTACACACACACACACAAAACTGTCCATTTGTTGAGGACTATTTTCAGTGGTGGATTGGGCCACATTTGAGGTAATGGTGTATGTGGGATTGAGTCAAAATAAACTACAATGTACATGTTCATGAACAGTAACATGTCACCCTGTGAAACAGTGTAGCTCACTGCTGTGTTTTAATCTGTTTCACATGCCAGCAAAGCCCCTTGAATAGAATGTAATTGAATGTGGGACCTGGTGTTGAAAGTGCTACATTGATCTTTGTTTTAAACTGACTTTAGGCTGCTAATGTTTACACCTGTCAAGGGACTACAGATGGAAACTAGCCTTTAGCTACTTCAGGCATATTTACTGTGATGTTACTTAATATGCACTGTCTGAGAGGAATAAATAAACAAAATAAATACACATTTCTAAGAACCATTCTTACAGCCCAGCTGAGCAGGTATGCAGATTATGTGCAGAATAGATACAAGTTGTGTGACTCTCAGTGTAACTGTCCACCTGAACACAGTATTGGCCTGAACTGCTTAAATCCTGTTCAACAAACTAGAGAGAATGAAGATGAAATAAAGGGAAAAAATACATAACAGACACAGAGAAAACATTTGCTCATCTACAGTTCAGCAAATAAATAATTTGATGAAATCCACTCTCCTTCTCAAACAGTGCAGTGTGCTGGGATGTGTTTGCCTCCAGTTCATAAGAAAGCTTCCCTGATGCAATCTCCAAACACAGTGACCCAGACAGTAACTAAGTACAGTCAGTGTTCATGCTTTTTAACAAAGCAATAAAAATGCCACAATGCATGTACTGATTGGCTAATAGCAATGTGTTATACCTGTGTAGTACAACAACAATATTGTTCTTACAGAAAGCATTTAACATTAAATAAGGAAAAACATTAATTCAGGTCACTTTGCCACCTATGTGGCAGAACACATTGGTCAAAACCAGTGAAGTCATGCTGTTAATGCACCACTGATGGATTTTGTAAATCCCCAGCACATAGCTTATAATTCTGTCCTCAGGTATATCACTGGGGATGTCTATAGCACTCATCATTCTATCATTCTATATCTTCTCTGCCTGACAGACATATGTATTTGTTTAGGCTCTTATTGGAAAGTTGCTTACATCTCTTCAATGCTAGAATGGTCCTCTGAACCTTATCAAACATGGCCTAATGGCAAGCCAACTTCCTCCAGTTCATGCCTTGGAAGATCTGCTTGTCATTTTTACTTTTACCTTACTCTTGTACCTTTTGGTGAATTTAACTTATCTTTTATTGTTTCATATGTCCTGTATTTTATGTTAGTTAATTGTCACTCAACATCATTGGAAATAAGGGCGAGTCGTCAATGATTTTCATGTTTAAATAAAGGTATATATAAAAGCTTGAGACTAAACTATGCACAGTTGTTAAGTAGTGTCAGTTTGAGGTAGTTAAGTTTAACCTGCATTTGATCAGTATCCCAGTGCCTCTTTATCAATGGGTTATACACAGTAATGACGTAACCAGATACAAATGCATTATTTAGATTGAACAGATAAGGCTCCACAGATTCTAACAACATCCAAAAAACTTTTACCAGATTCGTAACATTAGTCTCAAATAAGTCTTGTTTGATAAATATCCATATATACATTTTGAAATAATAATAAAAAACTTTACTTTACTCCATTATAATTCACTATCAATACAATCACTTCAGACTTTACTCCAGATTACTGTCGTCTCTACAGTGCAAACAGGAGCGAGTAGGAGTTGTCATGTTAATTTGTCGACATTTGGTAAAATATGAACGAAAAGGCTACAGACAGAAATCATGGAGGTGTAGACACAAGTTCAATATTCAGACATCCAGCAAGGTTCACCCTCAATAACTTTTCACCATATTAGTGGTGCAGTGCAGTAAAGCTTGGCTGATGCTGCTCGGGTGTTATTTTTACCTCACAATCCAATACTGAAGCTGGGCACTTTTAAGATCTTGCGGGACTTTGTCAGTTTATTGCTATTATTTGATTCATTTTGGTACTACATGGTCGTGAATTAAACCTATACATACAGGATATGCAAGAGATGGAATAACTGCTGTAGAAAACAACACAAAAATGAAACACAAATAGTATTACAACCCTATTACAGGGTTAGGGTTAGAGTTAGGTGGGTTAGGTAGATATGTGACTGCATGACTGTGCCTCCAAATAGTACAAGCGACTTTCAGTGTACTGTGGAGTAGATTATGGTAAAAAGCTTGATATTAGTGAACTAGTGCATGGTTTTTCCATGTACATTTGTGTGTCTCTGTGTCTTTCTCCGACTCCTAGCTGGAGGCTGATTAATTATTCTCTGTGTGAAGGGTGTTTTGGCCCAGAGTGATTGCCGTTCCTCTGTGGCGCTCCTGTTCTCTAGATCACCTCAAGCCAAATGAGATGTGGTGGGGGTAGGAATAAAGGGTCAAAGCCCTCCATCTCTGCACTCACACCACCCACCATTCCGCACTTCATTCCCCAATCCCCCAGTAGCCCAGACAATCCAGAGTGCGGCCGCGAGGAACAAAGTGTCCCCCTGGACGATTTCCTTCTTAGAACCATAACCCGCTCTGACACAGGAATCTAGTCAATGTCAATATGATTTAGTGAATATTTCATTTTCAATTTCCAAAGTCCTGCCTTGTTTCACGGGATTACAACTTTGTACTCTTCATATTTCTCACTCCTCCCTCCTTTCAAGGTCTGTCTTTCTCAAATCCTGCCTCTGTTTCTGCTGATGCAGAGCAAACTATTCTTTGTGCGTAGGATTGTATAGTTGTCATCTGTTACTTTGCTCTCATCAGTTCGGGTTCGATGTACCCGAGACACGGGCAAATCAAACAGCCGGCTGAAGAGGCTGTGTTCTAGTTTGCAGTTGTTAGTCATGTCAGATGCTCGGTAAACAGTCAGAGCTGCCTGCAGTGGTGACAGCAGTTTGTCAGGGCCAAGGTGACGGTAGCTGCCCATGTAAAACCTTTTCATAACAGTGCGAAGACTGTTTACTTTAAGGTTGGTGGAAAAGGGGGTCACAAGCTTGTTGAGTCACAAGATGGATGAATGTTTAATGTTCTAATAATGTGGGTTAAAAGCAATTTGATTGACCCACAAAGAAATAATCAAGATGTATTTTGCCAGTATGCGTGTGGATCTGTGCTATTGAAATTGTATTGTTAAATTGTAATGAAATCATATGGCGTGAAAGTTACAACACATGTTAGATAATAAAGAAAGACACATTTTACACCAAAGAAGCATTTTATATCATGAGGTAGAAGTATGTAGGAGTATAAAGGTTGATTGATCAAAATACATTGATCATACCAACTACTTGTGGACTCAAGGGGTCCTTATGTTTGAAAAAATGCCACAGAAGTGCCCTCTTGGATGCCCCTATGGTATACAAAAGATGATAAAGTGCCCTCCAGGGTGCACTTCCAATGGAAAAAATGTGGTAAAGTGCTATGTCTGTTTCACCATGAATGCAATGAGTCCACCACTGGATCTGATGCCACTATCATTTGTAAAATTATTACAAATCACTGTTGGAAAATAGATCCATTGCATGGTCTGACAACAGTAGCTTAAGGTTGGTTTAGGCCAGTCGTAAAATGAATGAATTCAAGGGTTGAATTGTGGAGAAATTAACTGGCAATCTAAGCACCTCAAGACTAACTCACCCACACCAGGCTAGTAAAGGAGACCTGCCTCTAACTAGGACCCTGCTTTTAATTGAAATTTTACAGTAAACACATACATTTCCAATAATGACACAGGTCCTGCTCACTGACGTTCAACATTTTCTGAAATAATTTCTTTTTTCTTACAGAGTTGCATTGGTCTGTCTGTGCAATGGTTATATCAGAAAGTGTAATGTTGATTGTACAGTTTGTTAACCCCTTGCTTCTTCTCTTCTCAGGTACAAGAATATCATCCAGCTATGGACTGGCTGTCCTCCTTCTGGCGTGCGGTTTGGTGAGGGATGCCTTGTTATAATTTGAAGAACTGACACGGTTTGCGCCCCGATCTCTCTCTCTCTCTGTCTGTCTCTCTCTTTCTCTCTCTCCGTTTGCTCTTGAAGCGAATGAGAAAATTGCCTGTTTTACCTCCCCCTCCTTTTCCCTTCCTTCCCCTCCTCCCTCCTCCCCCACCACGCGGACTGCACAGTTGGCCCTCATTTTCCCAGCCACTACTGCTCTCGTACCCAGCACATTGTTATTAGCTACTGTAAAACACCAGTCACCTTTAAAAACCGGTTGGATTACTTTTTTTGTACAGACGTCGACTTGACACCGTCCGAGGCCCAACGCTCCGGCGTGAAAACAGACTCTGTATCTTGTTGGATAACTCTCACGGAAGAATGACTTTCTTATGGTTTCGCTGTTAATGTGTTCATTGCTCAAAAGTGAACAAGAAAAAAAAGGAGAATCTACATTTGTGTACAATATATATGATTCTAGATATATATCTGTTTTATTTGAAACACCTAGAATTACTGTATGTGCTGTATACATAGCTCTCCATATTGGCCATGGAACTTCATTGTGAATAGGCACTCTGGCCCTCTCAAAGAAGCAAAAGAAATTCAAGTACATGTTAATTTAGACTGTTAACATTAACCAGCAGGTTAAAAAAGCTAAAAGTTTTCTCTCTTTTCCCTTTAGCTGTATTGGCCATCAAAATTATCTAATGTGCATAATTTTACATCTTGTTGGTGATGCATAATACAGGTGTGCATGCTTATTAGTCTGAAGGCCTAAAAGAGGGGAGCATACGTTATTTGAGCTACATTAGTCAACCCTTGGAGTTTAGTGTTACAGTATGTTGAATTTAGCTTTATTTTAATGTGCTAGCTTTGGTGTGAAAAAAAACAATTGTCCCTTGTCATTTTAATTTGTATCGCATCCTCAGTAGGAATAAAAAGGATGTCACAATTTATGAGTCATTCAAAATCCTGATATGTGACCATTGGATGATTAATTTTAATCGGCCCGCACCGTTTTTCCAAATGGCATGCTTCAGTTGCCATGCACCTCCCTGGTATGTGTCATTATTACATAAAGGTGAATGAGGATTCGCCCACTTTGGATCATGAGTATAGCTAGCGTGTATTATGTTAGCGCACAAACACACACATTTTGCACTTTTGTGAGTGGCTGGAGGGTGACACGAGATGCAGTGCAACACAGAGAGCTGACTTGCTCATCATCAACACTGTATATGACCCATGTTTTGGGAGAAATATGTTAGTTTTGTTGAAATCTTCTCTTATATCTCGCAGTAATATATTTTTATCTTTATTTTCAGATGATATATCATAGAGATTTCTATCCACGCAGAGCATTTATAAGCAAAACGCTTTGACAATCTGACGCAGACACAAACAAAGGTGTTTTTTGGGGGGTGGGTTTCATAGTGCGACAACTTCCGATTCTTACAGTGGTGCAGCATAACCTCTAAAATAAATGGGATTCTTTTGTTGTTGTTAACTTTTGAGCTGAAATGGAAACTGCGCGCCACCTTTCAGAAATGCAGATGTTCTAATTCAAACTGAAATACTTATGAATAATATAGTAGTTGATTTATGTCTCCAGAATCATACTGTCAGTGAATGTTATCCACCATGAGTACTGTGCTGCCAGACTGCAGCAGTTGCCCCGCAGTGAGATCAAATCTTTATTTTGGTAGACATTGACCCCTAAGCACATGCTGTTGTTTTTGTTTTTTGCTCAGTTGATGCCCAAAATTTAAAGGTAACATGAAGCATGATTATGTAGTTCCTCATGTGTTGTATGGTATAATCTAACATTCACACATAACATAACAGATGTAATTGCCAACGATTGCCGTGCTGTGGTTTTGTTTTTTCTTTTCAAAAGGCAAAATACTCGCCCCCCTTCAAGCTTTTTTTCCGCTTTGCAGACAAAGCAAAAATCTCCCTTGTATAGTGCATTCCCAAAGAACTGTGGATGGGGAAACTTGTTGATTCAGCACTGAGGTTCGAAGGCTGACGGAGTGCGTCATGCTTTGGGATCAGACCAGAGACGTCGACTGATCAGCAGCTTCCAAGCCTGGATACAAGATGTGTGGGCGATAGAGGGCAACCCTGTCAAATCCCTCAAGTTCCAAATAGCTTCAGGGTGTATTCGGACAGTTAATCTAGCATCACCATATATATATATATATATATACCACTCTGCTGTGACTGGGAATGGATTGTTTTGAAATGAGACGTTACCTAATGTGATGCAGAATGTTTAGTTCACAGAAGTTTATTTTGAGGTATCGAGAATGGGATTTGGATGTTGGAAACGTGCCCAAGCACTTTGGAGAGAACGTGCACAGTTTGAGTGGACAGTCTGTCCAACCCTCATGTAAAAAGTTACAGATCTGTACAACTTGTAAATGAAATAATCAGCATGTTAACAGTTTTTTTTAAAAACTCCATTTAAAAAGGCAGAGGCCAGTGATGTTCTGTACTTGTAACAATGGTGTCATGTACTCATATTCAAGTGTTAACAAGTCCAAAGTGGGTTTTCATCTCTTCAAAATGAACTTGGGTAAAATGTATTTGACAAAAAAGTATATCTATATATATTAGAAACATCTCCTTTATAAAGCTTTCATCCTAATCTAGGGGACTTGCTTGACGCTGGGTCCTTGCAACATATTGAATAACAAAGGAGGAGAGATTGAAGCGATGATTTGATATTGTGATCTGAGTGACGAAAAATGATGCTTGGAACAAAAAAAAAAAAAGAGTTTGGGTTGTGATGGAGGCTGAATTGCTCACAAGGCAACAAGGTTTCTGTTACCAAAGAGGAGAGCAGTTCACAACGATGGCTAGAGAAGCAGTTCCTCCATCCAGGGATGTTATTTCACCACAACCATCTTTCTGTTCTGTTTTATATGCCACGCTACTCATCCACTCTAGATGTATTTGTTTCTTCTAATGTATTTCATTTCAATGCGGTCCTGTCTGTTTGTTGAGCTGTCAAAAATTCTGATGAATTATAGTTCTCTTTTCTTTGGTATTGTGTGAGGCTTCTGTACTGGAACATTGCAACAGTTTGTATTATAATGACGATATCAGAATAATATTTAAATAAACCATTTTCACAGATGAAATTCAAACACCGAGGGATTCCATCTGTTTGGTTGGTAACATACTGAGCGCAGTTGTGAGTGAACTTGAGAGAGCTGCTGACAACAGCAAAAACTGGCCTAGTTTCCAACTCAGAAGAGTTTCTTTTTTGTGTGAGCTAAATCACTTTTCATTTGATAGTACTGCTTAATGTTACTCAAAATCAATGCGCCCTTCATTTATACAATGAAGGGCGACAGTAATATAAAAACTAGAGAGGCATTCCCTGAGGACAATGAGTGTGATTGCCAATTATATATATGCATATAGGTGCTGTATCTGAAATACAGTTGGGCTGAATAAACTGTGAATGTCATCATAATGAGATTATGTACGATTCATCGGCGTGCAATTCAACAGGACTGAATGGGCCTCCATAGATTTTAATACATTACAAAACATAACTCCTAAATGTTATCATAATTATATTGTGTGCAGTGATGCAGTTTCTAGTGTATACAGATCTTGAGCTAAAAATACAAATACACTGTAAAACCTGATAAGTTAGTTGAACTCAAACTGTTAGAGGAAACTGCCTTAAACTTTTTAAATGTATTAACTCAAACAATTTAAGCATAAAAGATATGATTATGATATTGATTTGAGTAGAAGTAACTCAAGTTATTCTTGTTAGGGTAGCTTGGGTAAAGAAGTTAAAGTTGATTATCAGAATGGTAGCCACTTAAAGTTTTTTTTATGTGATAGTAACATCAAATCTTTACACTTTGAGGGATCATTAGATAAATAGATACTTTATTGTCCTTCATAGCAAATTATTTGGATGCACTTGGGCTTATCAGGATTAATAAACTAAAATAAAACACAAAAATGGAAAAACCCTAAGCTATAAAGCATATAGCAAAATAACCTTTTTTAGAGGATTACTTTACGTTAACTTACTTCTTTTATTAAAATGTGTTGTCAGGTTTTACAGTGTAGAACTGAATTGGCCTTGAGAGGCTTCAATATAATATATAACATAGGGACTCCTAAACTGTAAATGTAATTATAATTATTATAATGTCACAGTTAATAAAAGTGAAGCACTAAGCATAGTCAAATAATAACAGAGTTTGCACTGTATCGGGTGCTGAGGTACAAACAGAATTCGACTGAATGGGCCTCCGTAGCCTTAGTGCATTACATAATTCAAAATATAATATCTCATAAACTGTAAATGTCAGCATAATGAAATTACATACATTGATCAATGTGCAAAAGTTAGCATTTTAAAATCTCAAAGTAGCTTGTGCTATACAGTAGCCTCTATAGATGCTGAGCTATAATACAATGCGCCTGGATGGGACTCCGTAGCCTTTAATTCAATAATTTACACAATCTCATAAATTGTAGTTGTCATCATTATGAAATGATGTGCAGGTACGTGCAACGTGCAATACTGAACATGTTTAAATGCATTATACCTGCATTATACAGTTGCTGTGTTATAAATACAATTTGACAGAATGGGCCTGCATAGACTTTAATACAATAACTTAAAATAATTTGTCATATGACATGTCATAATGAGATTTTGTGCATGATCAGACAATACCAAGCATTTTGAAATATCAATATAATTTGTAATATACACAGGTGCTGTGTTACACTGTATATATGATTAGGCTAAATGGTCTTCCTGAGACTTTAATACAATACATATCACAAGATGTTGTGCAGCATGTAATACTGAGCCTTTAGAAATATTAAGAAAAATATAAGAAAATTGTATATAATATAAAATATCTTGGTGGCATTAAAATTGCAGGGTCACAAAGGTATCTTTGAAAAAAAAATATTTCAGGAATTGCTTATTAAAAATGCAAATGTATGCACATTTCATGAAAAAGCTGGATACTGCATAACATTACTTATTTATTTATATTTAAATGTTATATATAAACACAAAGTAATCCAGACCCCTCACAAAGGGACCCAGTAATGTTTGAGTTGAGGAAAAGAAAGACTATAGCATTTTGCAGGTGATGCAAATTGGACTTAGCGCAGTTCTCCTGGTTCTGGCAGTCAGCCTTCATCAGTGCAAACCTGGGAAACAGGAAACTACCTCTCTGTTGGTAAAAAAGGGCCTGTCAAATATCATCATCCATTCATCTGTTTGAAAGACAAGATCGAGGAATGGGAACTTGGGAGGGAGGGAGGGGGGAGGGGAAGATCCTCTTTGGAATTGAGAAGTGAATCTGGCAGCGGCGGCTCAGCTAATCAGGTTTACTTAATCAGTGAATTCAGAATGCAAAGCAGGCAAAGTAGCAAAAGAGAGCGAAGGCAAGTGAGGCAGATGAGCAACAATGCAAAATTAACCCTCTGCCCATGTTTGTTAATTCAGCAAGCAATGACACAGTTATTTATGTAAAGGCAAAAAGAGGGCAAATTACCAGCCTGCCTCCGGCGCTCTAATCAGCCCACCGGTCCTATTGCAGCACAAAGAAAAAGGGATTGGAAATAATAATTGTATTGCATGACTAAGCCTGTCTAAATTTTGCATATTTAAATATGTTGTGCTGAGGCAGTGTCGATGAATCACAGATGGCCAAGGTCTGTTTGTCTTTTTACACGCTTCCATCGATGAAAAGAAATAACAGTGAGATTCAAGTTTACATTTTTTCAAACACTCATGAAATATACATGCATACATTGTGGAGACAGCTTCCACGCTGAGTAAAAGAGCTGCTGTGATTCCAGCCTTAATGCAAAGCACCCCACTGGTAGCACAACATGGGGGCAGGCAATGTGTTCTCAACTGCTTCCTCACACCTCGAGGTTGACACTGTGCATCAGATAAAAATGGGGGAGATGTAACCGTAACAACGCTGTGGGGATGCTGTGGCCTAAAGGTTAGAGAAGTGGATCTGACTGCATCTTGGCAAGAAAAAGAGGAAATAAGAAGTGCTGTCTGAACAACTCTGCGCAGCTGCTGTTGAACAACAACTATATCTGCCTAAAAGTCTGAAGCCCCACAATTTGCCCCTTGTACTTACAAACAAGAATGCTAAATTTTGACTTCAGGAAGGCACTATATAACAGATAATGCAAGCCTAAGACAAATTAAGATGGTTAAATGACCAGTGTTAAGGATTTAGTGGCATCTAGGGTTGAAGGTACAGATTGCAACTGAACACAGCTCAGCCTCCCAAGCACTTAGGAGAAACAACCGTGCCTGCGAAACTCACGAAAAACACCAAAGGGCCTATCTAGAACCAGCGTTTGGTTTGTCCGTTCTCGGCTAATTTAATTAGTATCATTGGTAGCACCTGTGTTTACCCTACTATTTTATGTCAAAATGGCTGCTGTGAAAAAGTCTATCAGCTGATGCAAGCATGACTTCAGTGCTATGACTGAACTGATGCAAATTCATGGATAAACAGGCCTCAATGCTTTAGATACGTATTGTGACCATCAATGAATGGTCATGATATGACCATTAATATCCATACTTAATTTAACAGAAATCTGACCAGTCATTGTTGAGTTAATCAATGACATTATTATGGCCTGGGCCAAAAAAAAAATATTTCACTATTGGGTGTGAATGTGTCTCTCTTTATGATTATGAAGCACTTTTTCTGAGTTAAACAAAATCTATGATCTACCCTTTGCAATGCACTCAAAAGTTCTTCTATTCTCGCCAATTTGGATATCCCAGAAATGAATACAAATCTCCTGCATCCTTTCACAAATGCTGACCGGTACGTCTGACTTAACAGGATGAAGGGTCCTCTGACACCGTCTTATTGGTGCTATTGGGATCTGGTGGCTGGCAAAGTGCTAACAAGCAATTCTGCCCAAAGACGTTTTAACAAAGGCGAAGCAACTGAAGGGCATTAAACTTTACTAAAGTTTCTGTTGCTGTTCTGTTGCTTTCTTGCAAGTGAGTGTGTGTGTGTATGTGTGTGTGAGAGAGTGAGTATGGGTGTGAACGGTCCTGCATTATTTATTTGCACTCATTAAAAGTAATCAATTGAAACTGGCATTGATGTAAGGGTCTTTATTGGGCTTTCAGGAATCCGTCACTGTAATGTACCCTGTGACTTTCTAACCCTGCTTGATTGTTTTGTTCCACAAAACGCCCAGAGGAACAGAAATGTGTTTGCATGGAGCCATCAATGCTAAGCATCTCTCAATGCTGTGGGATTTACGAACCCCAGAGGTATTCGAAGGAAATCATATTGGCATATCAGCCGAAAATTTACTGCGGTGGGCTTAGGATGGCTGTCAATGACTGAATACAACAACAACAGCCATGTCATCGCAAAGTGTGCAAATACAAAGCTCTGAGTTTAACCCAACATAAGAGACAGATGAAGCAGTATGAAGGCAGTTATGGAAATGTGCTGCAACACTATAAGTGAGTGGGCGTGCTGATTAAAAAAGAAAGCCCAAGAGAATTGAGTGTTGAATGTGTTGACAGAATGTGAAGCCGGCCTCATTAAACTGTAGAAGCGGGGACAGGCATGTACGGTTCTCCTGAGCGCTTTCTTTACATGTAAACAAACAAATTAGTTCCAATGTACTATCAGTCATAGCATTTGAAATATATGTGTATGTGTGTATTGGGGTCTACAGTACGTACCTGTCTTTGTATCTAGCATTCAGAAGCAATGTCATGCAGCAGTTCCAAATCTGAGTGCCATACAATATGGAAGACCCCTCCAGCAAAATCCTCCCTTCTCCTTCAAATGCTCACAGGTTGCCATAGGGGCGCGAGAGAAGGAAGTGAACTGCATACACAAAGGACGTGAGAGTGACACCCTGCTGTCAAATCACTTCAAGGTTGTTTTGGGGCATCTCAGGTACTGAAAACAAATCAGTGTCATGAATATGAAAGTAAAAGACAGGTCCCTTACCTTCTTACTATGTGGCTGCCAGGTGAACCTAAGTACAGTGTCACATAAATTACTTCAATGACTGAGATTTTATGAAAATGTTAACATACATCTTTGTCACTCGAGATGTCACAATTAAAGTAGACTCG